ATCTCATGGGGTGAAAAAAGGGAAAAAAGATATTGTTTTTTTAATGACCTGAACTTGAATAACATTCATTTAAAATAATGTAATGTTGGGGCACCTCGGTGTCTCAATAGGTTAAGGGTCTGATTTTGGCTCAGGTCATGATCTCACGGTTCGTGGGTTCGAGCCCCATATCAAGCTCTGTGCTGACAGCTCAGAGACTGGAGCCTGTTTCAGATTCTGTGTCTCCTTCTCTCCCTGCTCCTCCCCTACTCATGCTCTGTCTCTCTCTCCCAAAAATAAATAAACATCAAAAAAGTTTTAGAAAAAAGAAATAAAATATAATGTTAAAATTCTTACACAGTGCCATCACCCTCCTTTTCTCTGCACCTCAAAACATTTATGCTTTTTTAAAAAAAGTTAATTTATTTTGAGAGAGAAAGGTAGGGAGGGGCAGAGAGACAGAGAGAACCCCAAGCAGGCTCTGCCCTGTCAGTGCAGAGTCTGACACGGGGCTCGAACTCACAAACTGCAAGTCTATGACCTGAGCAGACATCGAGAGTCGGCTGCTTAACCGATAGGGCCACCCAGGTGCCCCAAAACATTTATATTTTTAAGGGATGACAATGCTGTTGGCAAGTGAATGCCAGACCAGAATAGTACTACTTGCCTTCTATCATGCAGAGGGTCGAAAAATAATTGTATGAAAATGCCCCACTAAACTGACTATAGCATAAAGAGTTGTGTTGGGGTCGTACTGAGACAGTGTTCTCTTCAACAACAGAGTAGAGTGACCACACAATTTTTGGAACTGTCAGTAAAAGCGGCTGGACTATCAGGTTGACTGCAGTATTGGAGTCTTTTTAAGTCATTGAGAAATGATCACGAACTGCAGTCAGGGTCCACTTCTGAGCTCTATTTGCGTCACGTCATGGCAGCCGGTAGGCAAGATTTATTCTGAACTGCTCTCCAGAGGAGCTGGCATTGTCCGGCTGGGCGTGCTTCTGCCTGCCTAAAGCTCCCATCTTCCCATGAGCTGATGTTTCCCCTCATCTGTCTCATTGCTATTTTGGTAGTAATAATGAAAAGATGAGGGGTGTATTCAATCTGTAGAATTAGACCCACTGTTGCCACCTTGAGCTAAAATAAGATGGATTTGTCTTTTTTACCCTGTAGCCATTACAATAATGAAGGTTAATAATTTCTGTTTTTGATGTCTTTAATAAAAGGGTTATTTTCCAGTGTGTAATACATTCTGATATGAATGCCAATATGTTCCCAAATTCCTTTAGATACTTTAGGACATACTCAAAGCTGCTCTGTCTAGCTGTGGTTCCAACATGCCCAAATGATTGAGGGTTTCATCACTGTTATTAGAATTCTATCACAGAGCAACTAAAGAAGTTTTTGGGAGACAGAGGGAAGGGGAGTTTAGACTAAATTGAAAACATATCCTTGCACTGCTCTGAATGATGCTCTTGATTATTCTGTAGAATACTAGACTCTCCCTGTTCCTCCAGTTACTTATTCTACAAATGAAATGCACTGTTTTTTTTTTTTTTTTTTGGTTATCTAGGGCTCAGTTTATCTCTTAATGATTAATAATAATTTAATGAAGACTTACACTTATAAGTATGTTTAGGAAAAAAACAAAACCCCTGAGGTTTTAGTGCTGAGCTTTAAAATCTTTCATGTTACAACCCCATATTAATGAATATAAGAACAACTCAACCGATTACCATAGCTGGAAGGACGCCAGTATATCCTTCTATAGTGAGTCAGAGACTTTGTTTAAAACAATATGACTAATCATGGGTTGTTTGTGAAAGTGTCTCTCAAGAAAGGCATTATGACACTGTTTCAAAGGAACAAAACAAAGATTTGGGAGAGAAACTGGTGATTTTTTGGACACAAAACACTAGACCTCTTTTATCTAATGTGTTTTTTTTTGGTACTGGGTATCCTACCTTTCAACTTTTTCATTTTTGTGTAAAATACATCCCTGAAATGTACCTTAATGTTCATTTTTTTGGCATGATATATACATAGTATTCATGAAATATCTGAAGATTACTCCTTGGTCCTGTTCTAATAATACATATAAAAGAAGAAATCTTATTGAAAAAATAGGCACTTGGAAACCCAGAGAGGTCCTACGTACAAAAGGAAAGCCAAATATTTGTGGTAGTTAGTCACCATTATAGATAGATTTCACAGCAGCAAATCAAATGTAACATTAAATAATTATGAAATAAAAGTAAACATTTTGTAAAAATATGACACGATGGAGTAGAAGGTTAGTTCATGATGGGTAGATGTCATAAGTAGGTGTTCTTAGAATTTAATGTTTCTACTTAATATTAACATTGAAACTTCAATTCCCTGTGAAAAGAATGACTCTGTAGGACACTGGAGTTTTCTCTCTTTTCACAAAATAGCCAGACTGCCGTTACACATTATCTATGTCCCAAGCTCCAAACTGAAGGGAAAAGAACCTATTTACTCTCTCATAAAATAGGTAAAATTCTGTATTCCAGCCAAGAAACAAACTAAAAACAGACAGGTGATCCACAGCCAAAGAATTATTTTCAAACTGTAGTAAGAAGGAACTGTACTCAAAATAGTCAACACCAGTAATAACACAAAATAAAATATACACACACACATTAAAACGACACCCCCCCGCAAAAAAAATGAACCTTCCTACACCCCCCAAAAAGCCTGCTTCTCAAGCTATTTTCATTATTGGCCATTTTCAGTAAGAAATTTCCTAAAAGTCAGCTGTCTGTGACAGTGGAGTATTTATTTCTGGGTCCTTCTCATGGCCTGCTGGAGAATTTTACTAAATTATAGTTCAGTAGCTAGACAGAGTTCCATGTACAGTTGTCTAACTGCCTGTGGTATTGGTCGAGATTGGGTCAGTAGTTTTTGGTTGTCTTGCATGTTTGGAGCCTGAGTTCACTGTCTCGTGGTTCTCAGTGCTTATGGACTAATGAGCTGTGGCATCACTGTGAAGCTGTGATCATGCACCCAGGGAACAAGTCACACCTGAACATCTGGGGAGACAGTCACGTACTATTTTATCCAAACTTGACAACTTTTCAGTACACATTTAATCTGGAGTGCACAAAAACGTCTGTTTCTGTTCCATAACTGACTTTAGCATTTCTTAATTTTGCCTGTGGAGTGAACAGTTCGGTCAAGTGATGTGGCAAAACATGAAACATTTGAAAATAGACCCATCTCAAAGTATTCTAAAGAATCAAGGTCCTGATAAAACCGATGGCTTCATGTTTCTCATTCTAAAACCTTACAATAGTTGGTTACCATAAAAATACATAAACATATCTCAGTGGAAATACATTGAGCACATTTACAAACACGAGGGTATTGAAGAAAAACTAGGGAACTTCACACAAAGTTGTATAAGTTGTTAAAAATGACAAGGTGATCACACACTAAAATATGTATGTTTCAAGGGAGAAATAGCAGACGCCAATGGTAATTTTTCTGAAGTAAATGATGAACACAGAATAAATATCAGAGACAAAAGAACAGCTCTTTAGGATATCAGCAGGTGCTTTCAAAAGCGAATTTAAGAATAAATACCTTTAAAAAGGGAATTCACCTTCCTTTTTTACTTCTGACGTGTCAGCCACATACCTGTACCAATATTCAAAAAGCCAATGCTCCACTGGTTCCTACACCGTTGAGTTAAAACTGTTGAGAGGCTTTTATCTTTGTACTCAGTAAGAATATGGTGAAATGAGATCATTTGGTTTCATACTTTAATTTTGCATCTTAACCTTCATTACACACTGTGAAACAGAAGAACACCATTTCACTGCAGTCTGCCTGTTGACACATATTATTTCTGACCCTGTTTTTTCACTGTACCCTAAAATAGCATTATGTGGTAGGTCATTGGTTCCTGCCATTTCCAATATGTACAGCACTACCATATGCATTTCACTCTTTATGTACCTACTCCCCTTGGCTAGATTGTGAGCTTTTTAAAGACAGAAAGTATGTCTTATCACTCTCCCAGTCTTTAATCTATCATAGTGCATGGCACGTAGTAGGTATTCTATAAATATTCCCTTAAAAATGTTCTATATATTCCTGCAATTCAACATATCTACCATGTTTTAAATTCAGAGTATTCTCTTCTGAGTCCTATTTCAGACTTGCCTTTTATTTTAAAATCAGGCAAACAGGCACTCCAAACTTGTTTCCCTGTGTTAAGCTAACATCGGCATTTAAAAAAATAATATGCCACTATGATTTTCACTAAACTAGGGAAGGTTATTTTGGAGCTGCTGGGACTTTAGATATTTGAAGTAGTAATTACTTCCTCCACAAATGTTACCTTTTACAGTCAAATACTGCTTTCCCGTAGCAGTTCAACTTTTTACTTAACGGAAAATGTCTTTTATTTACAATTCACCATACCATACTATTATACATAGTAATTCTCCTTTTATTTGTTTTGGTAGCACTGTAAAGTTGATGAGGCATTATCATAATAATGATAGTAGCTTACATTTATTCAGTATTTATTTTGTGCCAAGTGTTTAAGTCCTTTACATGAGCTTGAGCTATGTCAATTAATACCCACGTAAAATTTATGATTTGTGTGATTTTATATATCTCTATCTCTCTATCTATGTATCTAGTCTTAGGTAATTTTCCGACTAGTAAGCAGTGTGGTCAGGATAATAATTCAGGGAGAACGAACTCCAGATTTTTCATTGTTCGTTCTTTAAAGATCTGATTATCCAGCAACAAAATTTGGTACCATATATTGCGTAATTCTAGAACCATGACCCGTTTTAGTGAGGTACTTGTGTTACCATTATAAAGCAAGCAACATATGTGAGACTGTACTTAATTAAATGCTATCAAGTTACTGCAACCAAGACTCTAAGAGTATTTTTTTCCATATTGAATGGATAAGATATCAACTCTTACCTTATGATCATCAGCATTTCAATTAAAACTGACTGCTATCACTTACAACTTACCGTAGACTTGGGTTTGGTTCCAAAACTGGCCACTGGGGTGGAAGATGGTAGGTCACTGGATTCGGTGTTAGAAGACAAATTTGTTGGCGCCTGATTCATTGAAATGGCGTCCGCTCCACTTTCAGATCCTGACTCCAGATCCTATCAGAAAAACGTATTGATATGAAAGGCATGTACATGCTCTCTGCATGCCTTTTTCCCTGCACCCGTATCTTTCCACCTTCTCCTTTTCCCAACACACACTGAAGATGCTAAAGAGTTGCTGACAATATGGTGCGTGGGTGGCTCAGTCAGTTAAGTGTCCGACTCCGGCTCAGGTCATGATGTCACGGTTTGTGAGTTCGAGCCCCGCATCGGGCTCTGTGCTGACAGCTCGGAGCCTGGAGCCTGCTTCAGATGATGTGCTTCCCTCTCTTTCTCTGTCCCTCCCCTGCTCTCACTCTGTCTCGGTCTCAATCAAAAATAAATAACATTAAAAGAAATTTTAGAAAAAGTTAGTGACTACTGACACTGACATGTCACCCATAACCATGCACTATTTCGTAATAACAACTGTACTCTTCGGAGGGTCTGATTTTAGACATAAAATACTGGTAATTCTTTGGTAATTAAACAGCTCATTGAAAATTGGAATGGGCGGTAGTGGGAGCTAGCTGGGGCACTGCAGTTAAGTTAGGAGGTAGAAGCCCATAGATATCCCTTCCTCACTATATGATCATGAGTAACTCACTTCGCATCCCTTATGCGACAGGGTCACTGTGAGCGTCAAATGAAAACACAGTTCTCATTTCTCCTCACCTCACCCTCTTCTACACGCCCATCAGACCTCCATGGTGACACCTACCACAATGGCTTGAAATCATTTAGCTCAAGTGTCTACCTACCTAATAAACTATGAGCTATATGAGGGGTAGGAATTAGGTTTTGACGTGTGTGATTCAATTCTCTCACTCGGAAATGGATGTTAATAGAGTTCTGGTTCAAGATGGTGACATAGGAAGACTCTGATCTCACCTCCTCCATGGAACACACCAAATTCGACCTATTAATAGAACAGTTCCTCGTGAAGAAGAACTGCAGATTGACTGAACAGCTACTGAACAACCAAAGGCAGAGAGAATGGCAAGAGAACAGCAAGAGAGATGGATGGTAACCAAGGCAACCCCACCGCAACACTGCAATCTGCAGTGGGGAGGGACGGCACTGAGGAACCGGGAACAGATCCCTCCGTCTTTGGGCACAGAAAAAAAACATTGTTTAAAAGAGCAACTGGCACAGAAAAGAGACTTCACCAGAAGTCTGCCAAGCTGCAGAGGAATTATGAGAAACCTCTCCAGGTCAGAGGGACCGGAGAATGGCCTGGTTTATATGCCCACCCCACCTTAAAAGCCTAGACAGGAGCAGGGTCCAGACACTGTAACAGGCAGGCCCAGTCATCTCAGGGAGCTTGTAACTTCAGCAAGCTCAGGGTCCACAAGCCCATGCTAGCCCTAGTCATGTAGACACAGAAAAGAGAAGTCAAAGTTTAAAAGGGCTGAGGCGCTGCGGGAATGCTCTCTCTCCTTCAACCTTAAAAGCCCAGGCCGCAGCAGGATTTGCCTGCTGTGAAGAGGTTTGGAAACCATAAATGGAGGGTCCTGATGCCTCAGAAGGCAGGTCTTGATGCCATAACTGATGAATCCAGTCATCACAGGGAGTTTGCCACCTCAGTGAGCCCAGGGTCCACAAGCCCACAAGCCCAGTTACCCTGTAGTGTTGGGGCACAGAAAATAGGCCATGGTTTTGTAGGGGTTTTGTTATTTAATTTTTTTTTAACTGTTTATTTGCTTTTGAGAGACAGAGCACAAACGGGCGAGGGGCAGAGAGGGACACAGACCTGAAGCAGGCTCCAGGCTCTGAGCTGTCAGCACAGAGCCCAATGCAGGACTTGAACTCATGAACCTTGAGATCATGACCTGAGCGGAAGTCAGACGCTTAATTGACTAAGCCACCCAGGCGCCCTGTTTCTTTATTTTTAAAATGTTTATTTATTTTGAAGAGAGAGAGAGAGAGAGAGAGAGAGAGAGCGCGCGACAGCAAGTGGGGGAGGGGCAGAGAGAGAGGGAGACACAGAATCCCAAGCAGGCTCTAGTCTCTGAACTGTCAGCACAGAACCTGACGAGGGACTTGAACTCACAAAACCATGAGATCATCACCTGAGCTGAAGTCAGATGCTTAATGAACTGAGCCACCTAGGTATCCCTAAATTTTTACTTTTTAATTAAATGTATATATGGTTTTTTTGTTGATGTTGTTTGTTTTTTTTACTTTTTAAAATGTGTCTTGTTGGGCGCCTAGGTGGCTCAATCAGTTAAGCGTCTGACTTCAGCTCAGGTCATGATCTCACAGTTTGCAGGCACTGACAGTTCAGAGCCTGGAGCCTGCTGCTGATTCTGTGTCCCCCTCTCTCTCTGCCCCTTCCCGGCTCATGCTCTGTCTCTCTCTCAAAAATAAGTAAACACTAAAAAAATTGTCTTGTCTTGTTTTAATTTTTTTCTTTTTGATTTTTTTCTTTTTTTTCTTTTTTTCTTTTCTTTTTTCCTTTTCTGTTCTATTTTCTTACTTTCTTTCATTATTATTTTTCTTATTCTTTCTGTAAAGGCCATGATTTTAAAAAAAATTACTACCATATACAGTCATAGCTCCAGCCAGCCAGCAAAAGTCACTAAGCCCATGGTCTGCATAGGAGACACCATACACAAGACAACTCCCTGAACTTGAGAAGTAGCTGTTTAATCTAATCCGTAGAAACAAACACAGGAAGTCAAGCAAATGAGGAGCTAGAGGAATATGCTCCACAAGAAAGAACAAGAAAAACCCTCAAAAAATAACTAAATGAAACAGAGATAAGCAACATGCCTGATAAAGTATTTAAAGTAATGATCATAAAGATGCCCACTGGACTAGAAAAAAAAAAAAAAAAAGAATGGAAGAGCTCAGTAAGACCTTCAAAAAAGAGAAAGAAAATATTAAAAGGTGAAGAAATAGAAGAAAAGAAAAGGTGAAGAATACAATAACTGAAATAAAAAAAAAACATATTAAAGGGAATCAACAGTACATGAGAGGATGCAGACAAATGTATCAGTGATCTAGAAGAAAGGATAATGGAAAGCAAACAAGCTTTGATGAAGGAACAGCAAAAAGAGAAAAAAATGTCTTAAACAATGAGGATAGATTAAGAGATCTTGGACAACACCAAGTGAACAAAGATTCTCATTATAGGGATCCCTGAAGAAGAGAGAGAGAAAGGTGCAGAAAACTTTTCTGAAGAAATAATAACTGAATACTTCCTTAAACTTGGAGGGAAATAGACATCTAAGTCCAAGAAGCACAGAGAGTTCCAAACAAGATGAACCCAAGGAGTTCCACGCTATGGCACATAGTAATAAAATATCAAAGGTTAAAGATAAAGAGAGTATCTTAAAACTATCCAGAGACAAACAGAAAGTTACCCACAAGGAAAAACCTGTAAGGCTATCAACTAATTTTTCAGCAGAAACTTTGTAAGTCAGAAGGGAGTGACATACATGATATTTCAAAGTGTTTAAGCAGAAAAAAAAGCCCTATGAAAAAGAATATTCTATTTGACAAGGTAATCATTCAGATCTTAAGGAGAGATAAAAGGTTTTCCAGACAAACAAAAGACAAAGGAATTTAACACTGCTATACCAGCCTTACAAGAAATGTTAAAGGGACTTCTTTAAGTGGAAAAGAAGTGGCTATAATTAGACATAAGGAAAATATGAATAAAAAATAATAAATAAAATATGGCAACATATATGTAAAATGTCGAAAAGGGAGTAAAAAGGAATGATAAAGGAAAAAAGAAAAAGCAAGATTTTCCTTCCTTCCTTCCTTGTGTTTGAACTTACATGACCATCAAATGAATATGAACTGCTATCAACTCAGAATGTTATATATGAACCTCATGGAAACCACAGACCCAAAACCAATCATAGATAAACAAAAAATAAAGAAAGCCAAACAAAACACTATAGATATTCATCAATCACAAAGAAAGCAAGAAAATAAGGAACAAAAAAGAACTACAAAAATGACCAACAGGCATTGCCAAATTGCCAAAAAAATGGCAATAGGCATATACCTGTCAATAATTACCTTAAATGAAAATGGCCTAAATACTTTAATCAAAAGATACAGAATGACAGAATTGATAAAACAACAACAAAACCAAGACCCATCTATATGCTGTCTACAAGAAATTTACCTCACCTAAAGACATATATATATAGTATGAAAGCAAAAGGGATGGAAAAACATTCACTATGCAAATGGAAGTGGAAAAAAAAGGCAGGTAGCAATACTTGTATCAGACAAAATAGACTTTGAGCGACTGTAACAGGATAAAGGAGGACATTATATAATGATAAATGGATCAGTTCAACAAGAAGATATAACACTTGTGAATATCTACACACCTAACCTGGAGCACCTAAATACAAAAAACAAATATTAATGGACATAAAGAGAGAAATTTATGGTAATACAATAATACTAGGGTACTTAAGACTCTACTTATATCAATGGATAGATAATACAGATAAAATCAATAAAGAAACAATGTCTTTGAATGACATACTGGATCAGATGGACATAACAGAATATTCCATCCAAAAACAACAAAATATATAGTATTTTCAAGTGCACATGAAACATTGTCCATAATGAATCCACATATTAGGCCATAAAACAGGATAAGAATATTGAAATCAAACAACACATCTTTTCTTACCACAATGGTATGAAAATAGAAGTAAATCACAAGAAAAATACTGGAAAAAACACGAACACATGAAGACTAAACAAGATGACACTAAACAACCAATAGATCAATGAAGCAAACAAAGAAGAAATAAAAAAAAACACATGGAGACAAATGACTATGAAAGCACAATGGTCCAAAATCTATGGGACACAGCAAAAGCAGTTCCAAAAAGGAAGCATAAAGCAATACAGGTCTACCTCAAGAAATTAGAAAAAAAATCAAATAAACAATCTTAGTTTACAGCTAAAGAACTAGAATAAGAATAAACAAAGCCCAAGATGAGTAGAAGAAAAATAAAGATCAGAGCAGGAATAAA